AGGGATCATTTCTGTAGCAGAACAGGAAAATGACCTGTGATTAGATTCATAGATGACCTGCAGATTGTTGGTCTGCTGAACAGGTTTCATGTGAGGCGTGTTCACTCATATTTAACAGCTGTGGTTAAACATGTGTAGGTCCTCAGCTCCATCAGTATCTATGACACCACCTTGGTCATATAATAAATAATACATTTATGTTTGTCAGGATTTTCAGCTGATGGGCGGAGTCAGCAGTCAGCTGTGCACGAACATGCAGAATCCAACATGGACAAGACTCAGTCAGCTTTTATAAGGAATTTATTTCAATATTTCAAGAGTTTCATTTATAACTAATTCATTTCATTATACAATGAGCCGCTCATCAAACTATCTCAACTCTGTGTGTGTGTGTGTGTGAGTGTGTGTGTGTGTGCATAAATGTGTGTGCGTGTGCATAAATGTGTGTGTGTGTGTGTGTGTGTGTGTGTGAGTGTGTGTGTGTGTGAGTGTGAGACAGGCTAATCAATACTCAGATTTAATGATACATCAGTGTTTCTGTCAGTGCTCACAAACTAACGTGACCTCAGGTGACCCCGCTGAGTGCACGTGTGTGATGATATTACATCATCTATAAGTAGGATTACTTTCATTGTAATAATTATTATTATTCACATGACCCTGATATTCATTCTGGGAAACCCCGCTGGAACCCATCTACACCCAAAGCACTGTGGGTAACAGAGTCCTGTGAGCGGGACACATGCCCCGCCCCCTCACGCTACCCCAACCTCAAGCTTTAGCTCCACCTTCCCCTCAGCAGGGTAATTTCACAGTCTCTACCCTGCCATCTGAGCAGGGAATCATGGGTATTGTAGTCAAGCACAGACCCACAGGCAGCATGTGTGGCCTGGATCAGCTGAGACTTGTGGGTAATGTAGTCCTTCTGTGCTGTAGACGTTTGTGGGTTTATCCATCACCACAACTGGGAAGTGTTGGTGCTGCAGTCCAGATGTTTTTGCTTAAAAATGGAAGTGTTTCAATCCAAACTGTCCATCAGGAGGGGATTATGGGAACTGTAGTCCATATGAGGGCAGTTCAGTGTTCAGCCAAGAAGGATTATGTGCGTTTAGGTCAAGACAGAGGAGGATTGTGGGTCATGTAGTCCAGCATAAAGTTGTTGCAGTCAAAACTAAGAAGGATTGTGGGTGGTTTAGTGGAAGCAGGGGGAAAGACAGGGAGTTGTAGTCCAAACACAATGCGGTTTGAGGAGTTGTAGTCCAAACAAAGGGTGGTTTGAGGAGTTGTAGTCCAAACACAGTGCGGTTTGAGGAGTTGTAGTCCAAACACAGTGCGGTTTGAGGAGTTGTAGTCCAAACACAGTGCGGTTTGAGGAGTTGTAGTCCAAACAAAGGGTGCTTTGAGGAGTTGTAGTCCAGGCAGAGGAGGACAGTAGCAGATGAAGTGTGGAAAGGGAGGGCGTGGGGGTGTAGAGGTGCAGGCAGAGGAGGATTGTGGGTGTTGTAGTTCAGTGGTTGTTTGTTACTTTAAGCCCTGAAATAGACTGTGTGTTTGAGCCCCATCGTTTATTTACAGTCACACAAGTCTGTATGTACACTACACACCAACACGTGCACACTCACACACACACACACACACACACACCATCTTCACATCACACAAACCAATAAATAAATAGATAAATAAATAAATAGCATGATATAAATACTTCAGTACCAGCTCTACAGGCTCTGATTCATTATGTACTGATAATAAACCAATCAGCCGTGAGTCTGTCCTCGTCTCAGATTAAAAACATCCTGATCCATCAGTGCGTGCGCCCGTCACCCTCCCAGAGAAGAAAAGAAAAACCCGCTGGAGGGAGGGAGGAGCCTGGGCGTGACGTTAACAGCAGTTCCCGTGAAGACAGTCGGCCAATCAGAGCCTGTCGCGTGCGGGGACCCAGATGTAGGGTCCGCTCTGCTCCTCGATGACCACTTTGACGTGGTGGTAGACTTCCTCGAAGCTGTCGCCGTGCACGATGGCTGGAAGACAGGCAAAAATGGCATCAAACCCCGAGACGCTCGTACGTTTCACACGTGAACTTTCGTGAACTTTATTTAATTATTGTTTTACCTGTGAAGCACTCCAGGAAGTCCTGCTCCAGCTTGATGGCTCGATCCAGAGCTTTCCTCGCCTGCTCCTCCGACAGGCGCTTGTTCAAGTCCCTGCACCAGTGTCACACGTGTTAATTCTCACAGTGACATCACAATGCTCTGACTCCACCCACAAAACCATAACACTTTGAATCAAATCTTTAAAAAAATTTTAATTTAAAATTTTAATTAATTTTCTTTTAAAAAATGTAATTGAATGACATTTGAGATTTTCATGTTTGAATTTTAATTTACTTTAAGAATTAAAAATTAAGAACCTCCCTGATTCGCAACCTATGTTGTTGGGGGCTTTTTGTCCCCTGGTAGGGTCTCCCGTGGGGGCCCAGCTTGGGACCCACACTAGAGTCTATGGATGAGGGACAACTCGTCTATCACCAGGTGGCAGATGTCAGAAACTCATCTCTGCTTTTGCAGACCTCTATCTGTTATTGGATCTGGGAGGTTGGTCTGATTTGACCTTTATGGGCGGAGTCAGAGAGCAGTTTGATCTGACCTCATGTTGTTAGTGTTAGACTCACAGGATGTTCTCCAGCGACCGCGGTCGGATGAAGATAGCGATGGGGTGGAGCTGTGCCGCCTGCAGCCTCCTCACGGCGTTGGCCGACACATCTAGGATGCAGTGCTTTCCCTGAACACACACACACACCGTCACAATACTGCCACTGTGGGAGTGGAAACGGTCACTGTGTGAGTGCAAAGGGTCACTGTGGGAAAGTGTGGACTGTCACCTGCTCGGCCACCTGTCGCACACTCTGCACCGACGTCCCGTACAGGTGGTTGTTGTACTGCCCCGCCTCGATGAAGCGGTGCGACTGGATGTCCCGCTCCATCTGTTCCCGTGACGCCACAAAGTGGTAGTCCCGCCCATCCACCTCGTAGTCCCTGCGAGGGCGAGTCGTATCTATGAGAGAGAGAGGCATACATTAGAAACCTGTCTGTTCAGTTCCTGTTTGACCACCTGTAGGCGGAGCCTTACGGGGAACGCAGGAGCCGAACTTGTCGGGGAACTCGGACAGCAGGTCGTCGTTGACGCGGTCTTTGGTGGGTCCCAGGATTATGATGGGGCGGGCATAGTCCACTGAACACACACAGAGGTCATGTGACCGACAGTCAGAGGCGGGAACAGTTTGATTTAAAGTCTGGGGTCAAAGGTTATTGGTGAGACTGACCTTCAATCTGAGTGATGAGCTCGTAGCTGTGAACGAAGCCTTCTCTACCTGCAAGAAGAAGAAACACCTGAAAACACAGGAAGTGACATCATACGAAGATCTGACCCATGACGGGGACATGAGGAGGGTCTGAGGTTATATGAACCCTCAGTTTGACTGAGTCACGTGGTTAGAAGTGAGAGAGGTCAGAGGTCACTTCCTGTTGTCAGTCTGGAGGTTCCTGTGATGCTGTGATGAGGTCAGAGCTGATGGACGTCTCTGTGTTTTTGTGTTTCTGAGTCTGAGTGACTTCCTCTGGATCCTCACAGAGGAGAAAACAGGAAGTAGATACTTCCACTTCCTGTATCATCAGCACAGGCTGCAGGTTCTATTTAACTTCCTCACACTGAACATGGAGCTTCGATGAATGACCTCTGACCTCTTCCTGTTCCTGAGCTCTCAGGTTCCTCCTCACTGATCATCAGGAGGTCAAAGTATCATCACAGGAGTGTGTGTGGAGGAGTCACTGATTAATAACCACGCCTCCTCCTCCTCCTCCTCCTCCTCCTCTGTGTGTGTTACTGGTGATTTTACCTTTACTCTTCATCCGTGACCACTCCTTCCTCTCCACTCTGAAACACACACACACACACACACAATGGTTTCATTGTGTTCCATGTTATTTTATTGTCTTTATCTTACAGTATAAAGCACCCTGAGGTGACTGTTGTTGTTGTGCTATATAAATAAAAATGAATTAAAGGTGGAATACAGCACACTGACACTGATCACTGACCTGTGTGTCGGTGTGCGTGTGCAGCATTCACTGACCTGTGTGTCTGTGTGTTTGTGCAGCATTCACTGACCTGTGTGTCGTGTGTGTGTGTGCAGCATTCACACACCTGTGTGTCGTGTGTGTGCAGCATTCACAGACCTGTGTGTCGGTGTGTGTGTGCAGCATTCACACACCTGTATGTCGTTTGTGTGTGTGCAGCATTCACACACCTGTTTGTCGGTGTGTGTGTATGTGCAGCATTCACACACCTGTGTGTCGTGTGTGTGTGTGTGCAGCATTCACACACCTGTGTGTCTGTGTGTGTGTGCAGCATTCACTGACCTGTGTGTCAGTGTGTTTGTGCAGCATTCACTGACCTGTGTTTCGTGTGTGTGTGTGTGCAGCATTCACACACCTGTGTGTCGTGTGTGTGTGCAGCATTCACAGACCTGTGTGTCGGTGTTTGTGTGCAGCATTCACA